GTCGAATACGAGCATCTAACCTGGGTCTGCTTAGCCCTATATTCTTGGAATCATCTCTCGTTGGGGACAATACCCCGAGTCCGTTGCATAATATACCCAATAAACTGTAACAATACTTGCAACGACCGAACTTTGCATGCTTTATACTTGAACTATTCTATCGGGTGTGGCGAATCATCAGATCGTTTTTGTTAGCAATTAGAGTTGAACGATCATTTCACTTGGGTTACTTCACAGAAAAAACGAGGGCATCGCACCATTTTCTGTCACTGTCACTAGTGGTGGTGTCTGGAATGAGAAGAGCCTCTGTGTCATTGTCCAAGACGACCTAAGTTGTTCTTTAAACAGCCCCCGGGTGTGGTCCACCGTTGTCACACGTGTTGGTTCGCTAAAGCGAGTATTTCGCAAATTTGAACCTACGCTGTTGGTACCGGACTACATTCGGCCCCACATAGAGTATGCAATTCAACCGTGAAATCCGTGGTTGCAACGCGATCGGAAGATTCAGGAACGACCACAAAGAATGGCCACCAAAATAGTCAAAGGACTGCATTCCAAGAGTTACGCAGAAAGACGAGACGCACTACAGTTGTACTTCACGCAGTATAACCGCATTCGAAAGGACTTGGTCTGGTGTATCAAATAATGCAGGACCCAAAGCACCTATGTCGTTCACTTTTTGCCCTGTTCTCTAACACTCACTTGAGGGCACACTCATTCAAATTAGTGCTCCAAAGATGCCGACTAGAATGCCGGTATTATTCATTCTCTCTCAGAGTGTTCACGAATCGAAATTCTCTACCACCACACGTTGTTTCTGTGTCTAAAATTGTTTCCTGCAAGCACAAACTGGATGAAGCTTTGACAAGTCTTTAATTTCAACAACCAAATTAGTGCACGAAACAAAGATAAATCGTGACATTCCTCATCTAGCTATAAACCGTGAACCGATTCATCTGTACTAAACCCTATGGGACTAGAAAAACAACCGCTTTTAAGTATTTCCCATAATAAAACTTCAACTTTAACTGCCCGGTGAACCGCTGAAGACAAGGTTCACCGGACGAATGAGAATAAGCATTAGTAAAATAAGGTCTGCCTGGAAAATTTGAGTTCTCTAGCTTAACCAGATGTGAGAGGAATTTTCCACTTGGGATCCAGCACCCACTGTGACTATGACTCTCACATTGTACAGGATTATCAGGAGAACAGTTTACCGGGCTGATATCAGCGCATAACTAATTGAGTATCTCAAAACGTAAACTATACCATTGATTGTCATAGCTAGCGAACTTAAAGAGGCGCTTTTGTTACCCTTTACAAGGAAAAAGTAATTCGCTGATTTGGACGGACCAGAGGCACATTATCGTCAAGGGTATTCACTTACAGTTCAAATGAGAAATGCTCCGGCATAGTCTAGGATATAAATGTTTCATATGTTGCTGATGCCTGACAGGATACATTCGTATACTAACTTCATGCATGTAATTGAAACTTTCCTGATTGTGTACTACACGTTCCACAAAAAAGTGATTGGTTCGGCCATTCAAGTCAAACATATCTAACTTGGAAATTATGTGAAAATGCTGTTTCGAGAAAGTTGAAGCTCACCAGTGCTCACCAATTAACCAAGTTAGAGAAAGTATCCACGAATCGTTCATCGCGATTATTCTAGCCGGTTGTAGCATCTGCATTCAAGTCCTGAAGATATCAATTCGGTTAACGGTGAAAGTTTCCAACAAGAGCGGCACTTTTTGTGTCTATTATTTAAGCATAATCAAAGAATTATTAAACATTGTTGCACAAATAGATTACAAAAATCAATAATACACTCCATTGAACTATTGAAAAGGAGTAACATGGTGACCTCAAAATCAAATGAGTTTTTCGAAGTGCTAATTTAATTTTCGAAAACGCATCATCACTGTGGCGCAACGTGATTTCTTTCAAATTTTACGCGTTACAAATTTAGGTGTGAAACCGTATTCTGCTGCACGGAACTATTGGAACTAACGTGGAGAATGTCCGTAGAAGAATGCCACACTTGATGAATTTGTAGTGTCCTATAGAAATAATGAAAATAGATTTATCAAATTGAGATTTTGATTTGTCAATACAAAAGTTCAAGCACCTTATTCTCAACCATTGAAGATGGTCACGTCATGTCCTTTTGCCGACATCAAGGATTCCATGTTTTCCGCCTTTTTGCCATGACAATGAATATAAATATTCACAGTAAACTGTACCGGCATACTATATGTGGAAGAAGTGATTTCGAGGATTTAGTGATTCTTAGTGTATATGTAAACACTTTACCCGGAATTGCATTCAAATTTACGTTCTGCTTTATTACATGAGAAATACAGTGAGCATAAACGGGCATACGTGAATCGTCAATGCATGGACTGTCTTCATATCCTTTCTTCCAGTGGTCTGTTTACAAACTACGAAACTTTTATTTTAGCTATCACCCCAAGAAAAACATCTGACCTTGTGAAACGATCGCTTTCGTTTGCCAGTTCGATCATGCTGATTACATCACCAATCATTTTGAGTTATCTTCCGTTCGGCCCACAGTCATCGAATTTGTTCCACAACCGTATGCGTGTTCTGACACCAATATAGGATGCTTTTACTGCATATCAGTTAAGGAATGGAGAATACTAGTCTAACTATTCATGGTGACCGAAGAAAAGAGAGAGAGAGAGAGAGACGAGGAGAGGAGAAGAGAGGAGATTCAAATCACAAATCAAAATCATCAATTGTTCTTTGAATTTTTGCCAGTTTGGTTTCTGCTCCCCCAGTTCCCCACGAACAGTTAGGGATGTATTTTCCGTTGTTGGCTTATTGTATGAGGGAATCATATGTCATGAGTTTTGTCATAATGTTCCAATGCGGATAATCACGAGTCATTTTCACATCGATCCGGGTGAAGTTTAGAAACGATCGTCACTGAAAATTGCTTCTTTCAGCCCGAATTTTGTTCCAAGATATTTTTGACAGGAAAAACAAACATTACGTGGAAAAGATTCGATCGTTCATTAGACTCAGACAGTTGTGTGAGTCAGTCCTTTGATGACATGCGCTCATCAAATGGATTTGAGAGCAACTGAGATTCACAGTCCGCGCCATCTACGAAACCTCGTGAGACATATAAAGGAATGATTAAGCGCATTCGTTTTACACGTATTCGAAATAGTCCTATGCATATACTAATCAGTCCTCTTCAAACGAACGAGTGAAAGCATTTGCTTGATTCTTTCTGATATTTGTTTAACCCGAATGGAAAGGACAAAAGCGGTGTTATGTGTTTGAATGTGCTTCTGTTATTGCTAAGCGATGTATCACTCGATTCGGATAATGAACTTTGATTATGTGACTCGGCCAGTCCGCATTTGATTGGACGAGGAGTATGATCCTCGATTCGTGAATGCAACCGCTTGCCTGCTTTGTCAATGTGAGATGCGCCGCATCCACGATCATATTGGGATTTTACCAGCATAATGATTCTCTCAATTGAAATTCACAACGGCATTGGTTGAATTTGCGCTACATTGATGAAATCCAATCAGATTGGAACAGCTGCCCACGGCTTGCCAGTGTTTCGTTCATGTTTATTTCTCTCTCTCTCTCTATATATATACATATATGTATATATATATATATATATATATATATATATATATTGTGATTAACACTAGCATTTACGGATACGGTGCCATAATAACAATGGACTAGCGAAAGATGTGGGTACAAAAGAGGGGAAAACAAAACAGTCAACTTGGGGAATAACAACTGTTTTGTTTGTTCACTGCACGCCATTTAGAGTGTTTTCTGGTTTTTGTTTATTTTTGGGATCACACAAGAGGGGATACATTCGCTCCACTAACTTCGGTTCGATGCCATATCCCGCAGTGTCTCCAGCCAAAGAAAATCTGAATTTTTGGGGCCCAAACCGGGCAGCTGGAAAGCCCAAACAGAAACCAGATCCGAGCACAGCCTCAGTAACTATCTGCTCCACGTCATAGTCTGCCCACGTCACTGTTTCTTCCAGCCTGAACTGATGTTTGCTAATAGTGCACGGTGTGCAAACGTTTCTCAGGCCGTGCCCTAGCCACCTAAAAGGATGCTGTGAGATTATTTTACTGAACGGAAGTTTCTCTGATTCCCGTACCTACTCGTTTGACTTCATCGTTGTTCACGCGATGCTACCACCATACGCGGGTGATATTAGGTAGACAACGATTATCGAAGACGGATAGTCTCTCTACACGACCAGATTCAACATACAATTCAAATTGGTGTTATTTTTCTCTCTCCCCCCCCTCCCAGACACCTCAATCGGCATCTGTATGGTGATTGTGAAAGGTTCAGTAGCCTCGGTGGGATTCGAACCCACGTGTAGATGCCGCCTACGCTTCATATGCGCACGCTCTAACAGCTGAGCTACGAGACCACACCAATAGCATTGGTATTTTCGAATTTACCCATCCAACTTACAGAGGCATGTGACATCCACCAATTAGCAGGTAACCTGACTGCCCCGGCAGGTTGGATGGGTAATTCAAATGTGAAAAGATCAGTGCTACTGGTATGGCCTCGTAGCTCAGGTGGTAGAGTGTGCGCGTACAAAGCTTAGGCGGCGTTTATGCGTGGGTTTGAATCCCATCGAGGCTACTGAACGTTTCACAATCACCATAAAAACTTAAAATCTGCCAAACAACAAGTCGAATAATACTCGTAATTGCCGAGAATTATGTTCACATATGAATACAAACGAAATGGAAAAATGCATGCACTTAACTATTCACATGGTGTTGGATTGAACGTAAATCTGGTATGCCTCGGTTTTTACTTGGTCTTCGGTTAAAAAGTCACGCAAAACGGTATGTAACAAACAAATACACTTATCGATTCATTCTGTTCTGTTCTGTTCCGTTCCGTTCCGTTTGCTTCGGTCAGGCTACAAACGCAATATTCCCAGCTGGCCCCGCTACTCCATGCAGGGTNACCCCCGACTGGGGATTCACGATTTGGTCATCACGAATGTGACTCATGAGGATGCAGGCACTTACGAATGTCAAGTATCCCCGGTCGCCGGTCAATCGCCATTGAGACGACAGACAACATTATCCATCCTGGGTGAGTTCAGTGTAGTCTTGAAAGCAGTTCACATCATATTCCTGTAATTTTACTGGTTCGGTGCATTTACACATAATGACGATTCATACTGTTGTGAGTAGTATATTTGGATTGCGCAAAGGAACGTGATTGAAGGCTTCTCTCAATGGTCAAAAATGAGCAAGACATTTTAGAAAGAGAGTCATTGCGTTCACAGTGGTAACTACGAGCCTGTACCAGCGGACTGCAGCACCAATTAACTTGTGCGTGTGTGTTGAAATTCGGAAAACCTATTGCAAACTAGACAATTCGTCATACGTATGTCAATTTACTGATGCCGTTACTGTTGTTCATGATAAATGCCCAGCCTCTTCCCAACACCACCTGATGGATTTACAACAATAGTAATACCAGTAACGATCTTAATCATGATTATTATCAGCCAAAAATGAACTATTTTATCAGAACAACAAAAATAGTAGACGGCGATGGCTAAACGATTGAAGTTACCGTCTAATGGTTCCGGGTATCGTCTGTTCGAACCTCACCACCAACGCAACCTGAATTTCCACAAATTCCATGTGGCCATCACAATCCTTGAATTGGTCGATTGTTCATTCTTCCGTTCGGTAGAATAGTTAGCAAAATTATGTATTCACTGAGAATTAGAAGTGAATGAACAGAGGAAAGTTTTCTAAATTGAAAGGTCTTTACTGATCGGCTATTGAAATTTGAGCTCACGCAACAAACTATCCCCAGAAAAATATAACTGATAGTGACCGACTCAAATTACATCATCAAAAAATCATTCCAGCCCCGATGCCGACTTATCGATGGTCTATCGCTCACGCGCTTACTCTCATTCGCACTCCTACATCGAATTAGTTTGGGCACTTTGACAGTTGTCTATGAACTTCAGTCGGAAGTTAGGACCCCAATCGGATATGAAAGAAGCAACCATAAGTTTCCAGTTTGAAACAAACATGATTTATCTTGTCTGCTGCATCGGGGCGGGGGTTTCTGTTTACTCGATAACCTCGAAAAGAATGAAAAACTCTACTGATCTAATGTTTCCCCGCTGTTTGATTATTTGCCCGGTTTTTGCACAGTGAAACCATCCCAACCTGTGATCGTCGCTCCATCTGGTGAGCCACAACCCGCTCCAAATGGTCGAATCACCGTCCCTCTCCGACAATCTATCCCCGGTGAACAAAACCTGTTACGCTTGTCTTGCCAATCCCACGGAGGTAGTCCGCCTCCCACATTCGAATGGTTTCACAATGGACTTATGGTGAACACAAGCACGAGCACCACATCCGACGACGAGTATCGGACAGCAAGAATCGACAAGGTGGACAGTGATTTCACATATCATAAACCGGGAGTAGAATATCATTCAGCCGAATTGGTTTTGGACAAAGAACAGTTGCATACCGGGGACCGCTTGGTCTGTCTGATCAGCAACAAGGCCACATTACGCTCGAAAAAACTGTCACAGCAAAAGCTTCGAGCTGAACTCTATGTGGTCATACACTGTGAGTTTTTCAATGATTCTGAGAAAAGTCGGTTGTTCGTTATCTTTTCCTGCGGGGACGTTAACGTATTGTCCCCACACAATGAAATCTTACTGTGTTATTCATGGCTTGGTTGAATTGTATGCACGGAGAACTGAATCAATGAGAGACATCTTGTACTCTGTAAGATGAGTTCTCAGCTGCTGTGCAATCAATACTGTCCTGAAATGACCTCTGGGCGGGAAAATGAGCTAACCATAGAGCTAATCACTTGTGTCGACTCAGATTCGGTCTGCATCATTAGGAATTAAGGCAACACCGGGTACCATACAGGATGCGTATGCAAATTTGTCTTGCTGGAGTACCGGCGAAGGGAAAGAATAAGGGGTACAAGATATAGGAGCGATATTTCTTGTAGTTAAAGATGGTTAGATTCGGATTGTGAACAGATAAGCAACCTAAATGAATTTCGAATTGATACCACCTAAGGTCTGTGCTGTTGACGTGGCCTTGTGGATCAGGTGATAGAACAAGCTCGCTCCGGACATCAGACTAGATTTCACTCCCCCTTGTCACGAGCACTTCATTGTTTTAACGAACCAAACATAAGACAATTCTTCTCATTATCTGCCAAACAAAATGAGTGGAGGCATTAATCCTGTTCTCAGCTGCAGATAGGTAGAAATGATATGTCTCAAGTTGATAACTGTGGATGAAAGAATTTATCCATGAAGTTATCCTTAAAAAAACTGATTGTGATTTAATGAAAACACTTAGTCCTTATTTGATTTGTTTTCTAACTAGGCATTTCTCATTGGTGTGATAAACACATCCCTCATAAGTGAAAAGCCTCGGAAGTACTACAGTCTTGACATGTTAGCGTATCCACAGGCATCCGAACCCCGGGGACGAGATGTCATTACATGTTAAATAATCGATCTGTCATTACCCGATCAACATATTTCACAAGACAGCTAGATTTTCTAGTAAATTCCAGACTCATTTGGATAGTTCCGAAGACCAACGGCGATCGGTAAGACTTTAGACGTAGTTTGTAAAAGAACAATGGGAAGAGAGCAAAGTAAACCCCGAAAATGTTTGTGAAAAGTAGGAGTTAAATTATACAGAAACTAATTGCAAAGCACTTTACGTGATTTGAGCCCTCACTGAAACAGATCAATCCAAAAAGTTCTGTTTCTATTTACGTGAGCAATAGAGGGAAAATTGGGCAACGATAGTTTGCGGACTTGAGCACAACCTGAGTAGTTCTGTGTGAATGCTCAACACAATGAATAGGTTGACTGAATTGTTTTTATTGTGTGAAAGGAGGTATAGAGCAAAACTACCAAGTGAGAACTTAGCGCTGTCGGGTTCATCTTGCATCAAGGCAATACACCTCTTTGAAATCCTGCCGGAAAAAATTGCTAAATTGTCAAAATAGATTACGTGCAAACCAATATGTATGCACATCAATTCGCTTGACGTAAACCCTCATCCTCCCATCACTCAACTGATTGTCCGTATCGAGTTTGTGTGCCGATAATTTGTACTGGGCAACAGGTATTTAATTTCTCGGTGAAACTGGGGATTGAAGACAATGATACACATACGCATAAACACACAAAGAGCATATCGTTCTTTTACGCGCTCTGCGTACACACAAACATACGCGAACAAAATTTGATCTGCTCGGTCTCAACGGGGTTCGGACAAGCGGTGACTAGGTAACAAATACCGAACCACGAAGCAATTTGCCCCGTTCATTGTGCTCCTCCGGTTGCAACACTGTTTTCTGTCCGTTAACGACGGACTCCAGTTGTTGTTGTTGTTGTCCGAAAATCAGCCGGAAATGATTTTTACCAAATAGCTAATATAATTATGCAAATCACTCGTTGCATGCTGCATGCATACAAACAGAGAACAAGGTAAACAAACAGTTAACCAAGCCCTCACACACACACACACACTGGGATTCGAGGGCAGTCGCGTTTGAGTGATGAATGGGGAACATTCAATCTGCCTTGTTGTCACCCCGGCTCTCGATCCGTGTAAAACGGCCTCAATTTTTCCCGGATGTGAATTTGCCCACATCGGTGCACACACACACACCGACAGACATGGAGGCATGTGTATACACAAACATCATTCGGTATCCGAGTCAAAAATGAGTCAAAAATGAAATTCAATTGAACAATCGCACCTCACTGTTGATGGGGCTAAATGAACTGTATTAGTGCCTAATGAGAACGTACAGGATCGCCGTTTAGTTTTGGCTGCCGGAAATCAAAGCAACTGTTTAGCATATTGAATTCCGGAAAACAAACACATTTGTTTCTTGTAAATTAGTTAATTTCTTAAAGGCACAATCCGTTGATCTGTTTGTCAAAACAAGCTTACAAAAATGGATGGTGCTATATTATGTAAATGGAAAATGATCAGCTGCCCGGTGACCGAATGGGTAGTATGTAAGCTTTCAGATCTCGAGGTCCCGGGTTCGATCCCCAGGTGGGTCGATGGATTCACACGGTTGCTGAGACCCAACCAGGTTAAAACAACTGTCCAGCGCTTCCTACATTTTCAGTGCACGCTGCTTTTGCCATGTGCACGACAAATTTCTCCTTTGAAATTAAATCAAATCCTCCATTACTCACAAGAAATAGTTTTCTTTTTAAAGTTTCATTTTTACTTCAGTCGTATTGGATACATAATGATACAATTTCCAGGAAAGGGATGGGTTACCATTCAAAAGGCTGCCATTCAGCACATAATGAGGAAAGTTAGGCGACGGTGATGGTAGGATTCGAACACATGTCCTCCGGGGTGATAAGTTGATGACTTTACCACCGGGCCACCACCGCCGTTTACATCTTGTCACAACATATTTTTCCTATCGTAACTTGGACATATGGTTTCTTCAAAGAACACCAAATGCTGTAATGGATTAAAGATGGTTACGTATACTTTGATTTGAGTATTAATTGACTCAGCGGCAAATCTCTGCTTTCAAATGGGTTTCTCCGAAATATTTGGTCAAACATCAACATACTTATGCTGAAACAGTGGTATCTCCTAAACCACTATAGTGAACTGGCCTTGGGGCATTTGGGAACTCAAGACTTACTACCCATCACAGTACGCTACCTTTCTGCATTGCGCAACGAATGAGGAATCTGGTCCTTCGGTTGTAAGATCTGAACCCCATTTAGACTATCCATTCCTCTGGTAACAAGTGGGGTTCTTCCAACTCGGTGGAATATCCCAGTGATTTCCTTTAGGATCTCCTTGTAACATGACAGTCCAGATATCAGAACATATTTCTCTAGTTGATATTTATAACTTCTGAAGTCACGCTCTCAATACCACCGCGAACCGTATGGTGTGTGATGACATAGTTCTTTCAGCTTTTGGCAACATCTATCCAATTACTCCATGATGCAAATACTTTGGGTTCTTCAATAAATAGTTTCAACTATATCCGTCACGGGAGCATTTCCCACCTGACTAGAGAGGTTATTTTCTGTGCCCAGGATTGCGTCATATAGGGTTTTGCACGTTTGGTGTTGAATGAAAACTAATGCTTGCTTGTGTGTGCGTGCGTGTGTGTGTGCGCGCGCGCGCTTGAAATAAGACCAAAGTGTTGATCATCATTAGCAAGCAAAGCATAAATTACATTCGTTCTGGAAAGTTTTGCTCGTGGATTGGATCACAGTGAGGATAAAGTACGATACCGATGTGTGAATAAGATGTGGGCCATTCGTGAATTGGAAGACGTCAATGGTTAGTTAGGCACAGATCGATCGAGGTCAGAGCTTGTTTGAATGTAGACAATGAAAGCTTCCAATCAGGGGGAATTATTGGTACACAAGTGACTGGAAGGTGTAATTCACAGTTTATTTTTGTATCACCCGTTTAGAAGAATTGAAGAAAGAAATCGGTAAATTTAAATTTATTAATTTGCAATCTTAGCCCAGATAAATGGTAATCTGTCACTTTTGAATAGCGGATATCAGAGGAAATTTGTTTAACCATAAATAATGCAAAGCACTACATGGATTACGCTTTAAGATCTCTTTCATAATTTATTTATTTTTTCTAGCAGCCCAAATATCTGGTGGATCAGTTTTGCCTTTGTTCAATCACGTCGACAGATCTCATCATAGACTTTTCTTTCGGTAGTGCGATCTCAAAGAGAACAGGGTCTGCCCTTCGGTTCCCTATCACAAGATTTCAAGGTTTCAGTTTCCGCCGGGACACAGAACTTGCACAATGTTGAAGAGTTTCAAGAAGGGCATGTATTCCGCGCCCTAACAGGGACATAATGAAACCAATAAAGCCCCACCTGAGTGCACAACAACGTAAAATCATACACAGCATATTTATACAGCTATTCAAACTTGGTGGTTAAAACGCACGTATCCCTCCCCCCCTCAAGGCCTCAGTGTGGTCGGGGTTGGGTGTCTTGGGTTATCACCGATCGCAAAGCCTTTGCGTCTCGTTAACTAATCCTGTGCAACGAAATAAGCCGTATTAACTATCACATGTGATGCAGGTGTTTCCCCCATAGTGAGAGGGGTTATAACCAAGTGGGTAACTTAATGATAGTTCACCGAAGAAAGTTCTCTAAAAGCCCTGATTCCAAATCAATTGAGAAGAAGCCTACACACGATACCAACGCCTTCCCGTTCAATGATTGAATGATTTGCTGAACTGGTTTGCTTTATTTCTACTCCTCCTCGATACCGTAAGAGCCTGACTTTGGCAGTCGAAGGCTCCGATTCTGCATTGCACAAGAACACTCGCCCTCTACTTTGTGGCAGTTTTTCGCCCACGAGCAAAATCATGAACCCATTTACGATTTATGATAGCTATTTCGTGTATATTCAAAATGAGGAGAAGTCTGATCACTTGACCGGTGGCCGAGTGGGTAGTATGCTTGCGTTCTACCTGTGAGGTCCCGTGTTCGATCCCCATTTGGGTCGATGGATTCGCACAGCTGTTCAGTTTTTCCAAACTTTTCGTCTCACGGCTCATCTATGCTAAGAATTTATCATAAGCACAAATCAAAATTGTCCATTGCTGTCATACAACCGATGGCAGCTATTGTTTTACCCTGATTTGTTCGGTATAACTCAATCTTAGACGCGTGCTGAATAAAACTATTATAATAATCACCCAATATTCACTTTCGTGTTTCACCCACATAGCTCCACCCGGAAATCCCGAAATCATTGATTGGTCTTTCAAATCTAACGCCTCGCAAATACTCAACGTGGGCACACCTTTAGAAGCCACTTGTCGGTCAAGCCCTGCAGGAAACCCCCCGGGAGAACTAGTCTGGCGATGGGAATCCTCGACCGGATCACAGTCCGCTGACACTAGTGATGAGGTCGGATCCACTCTGAGGCCCAACACTGTGGATCGTGTATCCTCGGCGATCACACCGATTTCGACCGAGTATGCAGTGCAACAATTTGTGGACGAGAAGCTTCTAAGCAAGGTACGAATACCTCATGTGAACGCTTCACAACACGGAATGGATCTTGTATGCGCGGTCAAGCATCAAATTGGTCCCGAGAAAAGTGCTCGAATCCCCGTTTTGGTGCGCTGTAAGTTTTGATCGTACGCAAATTTCAGGATTCTGTGATTCCTGGTGAAACATGATGTGAAGTGTGATACACTAAAGTGTTCTATGGTTTTGCAATAAAACGTTCGTTTGAATGAGTTCCGTTTACGGAACTGAAAGAACCGAGTGTGTGCTACCGCCCTCTCCTACCCTCCTGATGGTCATGCATTTATAGCCCGTTACCAAGCACGCAATTTTCATTATCTTATGTGCATAAATTCGATAGCCTTTGGATTAGTCCCCAGAAGAATTATACACGCTATATCGTTAGACTATTCAAATCACTCCAGCATCTGAGTGCCAAAAATTTGTTGTGATAATTCAAGATCTATGGTGTGCTGTTTCAGGAGATTACATTTTTTATTTTACTACAATAATCCCTGACTCATTATCCCTACCCGGTTCTATCAGTTTTTAAATTCCGAGAAAGTAAAATACTGTCACTAGGTAATTAAGTGAGCTAGTGTGTGTTTTAAACGGTAGAACTGCCGATTTCAGACGGTCTCGACTACCATTCCGAGGTGCAGAAAGGATCGATGTGTATCGTGACAAATTCCGATATCTATCATGCCATGATGAATATGTGAAAACTTTCCAACCAGGGGCCTTTAAAAGATTGGATCCACAATAAATGTAACCCTGACTGTCTAGCGGACGGTTATGTTTCAGCAATGTACATTAACCGGCATTTAGGTCCACAGGTCACCTGTCCGAATCAGAGGATTAGAGCAGCACTGAGAACGACCCCACAGCTCGACTCCGTGAATCGCATAAACAATTCAAGCGCTGTTATTAGTGAAGTCTGACTTATCTGGTACAGTTCATGAAATTTCTCACGCAACCGGACATGCGTATTGTTGTGCTGTTGTGGACCTGTCAGGTGTACATTCATACATACAGTTTCAATTATGTCAAATGCTAAAATAACTTGCTTATGTAAGAGACCGAGCTCGCCAGTGATTCCTTGATAGATGCCAAATACGAACTCATTGTAACATTAACCCGCGACAGGAAGGTTCTAGAACGTCCTCAGAGGATGGCAACGAAATTGGCATCTATCAAGGAATCACTGGCGAGCTC